TGTTCAACGCCTCAAATCCGAATAGGAGAGCATACTCCAGCTTCACCTCGCTTGTGCCGTATAATATCAGTCCTGCACCGCTTTCCCACTGGTTAGATGAGCCGTCAACGTGGAGGATCCAGGGCTCCTTGTCCCAGGTTGGTACTACTCTAACTGGGTTTGGTGTCGCACTGGTTGATGCCTCTGACGTGTGAACGAGCTCGGTCAATTCAGGGGTCGCTGCACCGAATGTGCATTCTGCTATAAAGTCTGCCAAGATTTGGGCTTTGATTGTTGGTCGTGGCTTGAGTCGGATATCGTATTTGCTCAGCTCGTTGGACCACTTCGTTAATTTTCCAGATACCTCAAGGGTCTGTTGGTGAGAACAACGATAGTGTGGGCCTAGAAGTATAGGCGTAGTTTTCGGACTGCTACGACCAACGCGTATGCTAGTTTCTCGATCTCCGGATACCAAGTCTCTACATCCTGCAAAAACTTTAGTAACATAGTAGATGGGTCGTTGGACTCGATCTACTTCTTTGATCAGTACCGAACTAACTACTTCGTCGCTCGTGGAGAGGTATAGTTTTAACTCGTCCCCTTCTTCAGGTCGAGTTAAAACTGGTGCGGTACTTAGGTACCTTTTCAACTCGTCAAAGGCGAGATAGCACTATTTGGTCCATTCGAAGTTCTTGCTCTTTTTTATAGCTTTAAAAAAGGGTAGGCATCGGTTTGCCGATTTAGACATGAAGTGGCTTAGGGCAGCTATCTGACCAGTCAACCTCTGGACTTCTTTTATTTTTTGGGGTGGTCTCATATCTAGGATTGCCTTTATTTTTTTGAGTTGGCCTCAATGCCACGTTGGTTGACTATATAGCCTAGGAATTTAAAATTTAAAAAACATCATTTAAATCATCTAACAAATAGTTCAAAAGCTGGGTCTTCATGACCATGTCATCAACATAACATTCTACTTTATGGTCGATCAACAGCTCAAAAACCTTATTTACAAGGCGTTGGAATGTTGCCCCAGCGTTTTTCAATCCAAAGGGCATGACCTTATAACAATATAGCCCGAGCTCAGTTATGAATGCGGTTTTGTCCTCGTCAGCAAGATCCATCCTAATCTGGTTGTAACTAGAATAGGCGTCCAAAAAACTCAGCAACTCGTGCCTTGAGGTAGCGTCCACTAGGCGGTCAATCTTAGGGCAGTGGGATGCAGTCTTTCGGGCATGCTTTGTTCAGGTCGGTGTAGTCGACGCACATGCGCCACTTGCCGTCGGCCTTCTTCACCAGAACTGGGTTGGCCACCCAGCTCAGGTAATAAACTTCCCTGATGAAGTCTGCCGCGAGGAGATTCCCGACCTCCTCATCAACTACCCTCCAACGTTTTGAGGCTAGGTTGTGTTTCTTTTGTGTTACTGGCCTGACTAAAGGGTCGACATTAATCTTATAAGTTATTATTTTTCGGTCAACCCTGGGCATCTTTGCCATGGACCAAGCAAAAATATCTAAATTTTTAAATAAAAAACTTATTAGCTGAGTTCGAAGTGGCTCGCTGATCGAGGCACCAATCTGAAGAGTACACCGATTGGTGTACTCTGCTGGTTGCTCGAGCTCGACGTCCTCCGCTAGCTTTTCTTTTCCTTTCAAAGCAGCCACATAACACTTGGGGGATTCGAGCTGGTTACCTCGCACGACCCCCATTCCGTAGTCAATTGGGAACTTCATCGCTAATTAGTAAGTGGACACTATCGCATGCAAAATGTGCGTGATAGGCCGACCTACTATCGCATTAGGGGGAGGGAGTCGTGACCACCAAGAACGTGTGCTCAAATTGTACAATGTTTGGCCACGTGCTTGCCTCCACGGGTATTGTGACTTGAGCAAGAGTCCTAACCTCTTCGCCGCTGAACCCTATCAAGGGTGTATCTATCGGTTTCATGTCGCTCTATTGTAACTATAATTTGTCGAAGGTCTCCTTAAAGAGTATGTCTACTAAATTGACTGAGTCTACTAAGATAAGTTTCACCTTGAAGTCGTTGATCCTTAGCTTCACTATGAAAGCATCATCATGCGGGTACTGGATCCCGTGCGCGTTGTCCTCTATGAAGTAGATCGGTTCTTCGAGCCGAGGTCGCTTTGGCAGGTTTTCGCTTTCATTCTCTAATTCGTAGATCGAGGTCCTCCCAGCTGCTGATGTACATCCCGCAATGATGGACCCGCTTGTGATCATATTGGTCACTCTGCAAACGGGCCTCTTCTCTGGGAGCTGTCGAGGTGGTTGCTCATTTTGCCTGGTAGTCTTGGGGGCATTTCTTCTTTGGTCCCCTTGACGATCCCCCTGTTGGTTTGTCTGCCCCCTCTCTTCTTGCTGGATGTAATTCTTCAGGTACCCATGACGGATAAGTTCTTCGATCTCATCGCGGAGATTCCTGCAATTTTCCGTGTTGTGTCCATGATCTCGGTGGAAATGGCAGTAGACATTCGAGTTTCTTGTTGCCAGGTCTCCCCTTAGCCTAGGAGGCCATTTAACGAAGGAGGAGTCCTTAATAGCCATTAAGATCTCTCATCGCTTACCATTTAGAGGTGTATAGTTCGTTCTTTCTACGGGCGGAGTCCTGGAACACCGACCTGACTTGTGGCTATGCGAGGGGGACTTGCTTCTTCCCCTGCTTGGGGATTTGCTCTTTTTTCTTTTCTGCCCACCATTGCTCGTCCCTTCATTCTCTCTCTTCCTCTTTTCAGTCGGTGGATTGTCAGTCTTCTGGTTAATTTCCGCCTCGGTATCGATGAACTGGTCTACCAACTTAAGGAACTCGGTGATATCTTTTGGTTTGTTGGCTACCACATGCCACTTGAACTCTTTGTGGGTGATCCCTTTCTTTGTTGTAGTGAGATGCACTGATGGGTCGAGGTTCGGTATCTACAGGCAAGTATCGTTGAAGCACTTGATGTAGCTTCTGATTGATTCTCCTTCCCTCTGAACTACATTCAAAAGGCTTTCTTGCGACTTCGGGCATTTCTTGCTGGTAATGAAATGCGTAGTGAACAGGTCGGCAGACTGCGCCTAGCTTTTGATGGAGCCCGGTGTGAGGTTCCTATACCAGGTTCGAATTACCCTCTTGAACGTGGTGGAGAAGGCCACACACATGCAGGATTTGTTAGCCCCGACTAGGTACATCTGGGACTGGAAAGAATCCACGTGATCGTTGGGGTCAAACGACCCGTCATACTTATCTAATGGGGGAACCTTGAAGTCTTTCAGAATTGGGGTTGCTAGGAGCTTGGTAGATAGAGGAGATGATCAGATAAGCAAGGGAGGCGCAATCTTTGTTGCCACCGGGCTCACTTTTTCCCTTTCTTTAGCTCGCTTTGCTTGTTGGCTTGACTTCGCTGGCGGACTATTTCTGGCTGAGGAGCGGCGTGTCTTGCGGCGTCGCCGTTGTTGCTTCTTCACCGGCTCAACGTTGGTGCTCCTGACCTCAGTCTAGTCTAGCCTGGTATCTCGGCATCATTATAGACATTTGTCACGAGGTGGATTCTGATTCCTTCTTGCTAAGTTCTCCTGGTTGTGGTGTTCGCACCGGCTATCACGAGGCACCGAAGGGTCTGGCCTCGAGTTCGCACCTCGAGCTCTAGGTTGGTTGTTATTTCCTCGTGATCCGTTGTTTTCTTACTGGGAGTGCCGCAGCGGGTTGGCCCAGTTGAGATGGCTATCCTTAGGCCTATTTCTAAAGTTTCCTTGTGAGACTGGAGGGGTGTGTTGACCGTCTCTCCTCCCATGAGGTGAAGTCTGACCCCTGGGAGGGACCAACACCTGCGAGGTCCCCTCACCCCGATGGGGGGATCAACGAACATTTTGGCTAGTTCCAGGCCAGTTCTAGTTCTGACCCTAGCGCAACCCTGGGTGCCAGGGTGGAATTGGTTGTTGGTTCGGCTGTAGTGGTGGGAATTGCTGCTGATACTACTGGTACATGTAGTACTGCTGATATTGTTAAAGCTGTTGGCCTTGTTGCATCTGGACCTGTATCGTCCAGACGCATTGAACGAGGTCACGGAATTAGGAGTACTCGATTCCAGGGGGGACCACGGATGGCTCAAAGAAGGTCACGCCCATTGGGGTTAGCGGGACACTCACTTGTGTGGTGCCTTGTGGTATGGATAGTGACAGAACCCTTGGAGCCGTAAGGGGAATAGTAAACTGGCCGATGCATACCGTGGGGCCTTGGGGGAAGGTTAATCGCTAATCTTGCCCCCCCGGTGACGTTCATCTCGATGCTTTTCCTGGTGTTGCTGGAAGAATCCATTAAGATAGATCGAAAGCTAAAATTGCAATTGAGATTGGGATGACCTTTTGATCGGTTCCCATAGACGGTGCCAATTGATCGTGCGCGATCTAGAAGCTCCTAGCTGAGGAACTACCAAGATGTACTTGCGCGGTGAGTTGGATCAATCTGCAAAACAATGCTCAGAGAGACTGGGGTGGCAGACCCGGTGAGGTCGCTCCGATGCTTAAGTTAGTATGCTATGTCTTTTATGAGCTAAATACGAATGCTAGAGAGCTTGGATGTGAATAATCGTGCGTACCTTTGCTTTGAGGTTCGATGCCCTTATATAGTGGAGTAGTCATGAATTATGAAAAGGGTCCGAGATCTCCGGGCTGTATAGATAAGATCCGTTCCACTTTTGAAGGAGAGCAATGTGCTAGTTGATAAGGTTTATCACTTTCCTCCGATTCGGGCGGAATGAGGATGGGCCATGTTATTAAATGTGATCCCGGGAAATTCGAAGTTCGTTGAGGAAGCTTCTGGAGTTGATTACGTGGTGCTTTGATTCTTTGACTTTGAACTAAATTGGGTGCTGAAGTGCCTTTATGCCGAGATAATTCTATGCCGAGGTAGTTTTGAGCCGAGGTAATCGAATACCCGAACTCTAACTTTTGCTGATTAGACTCTTTTAGCTTAATTGTCATCCTTCGAACAGATCACGTCCACATAGGTCATGCCAAATCACCCTTCTGGTGTGGATGTTATTGGGATAGGGTTTGGTGGAGGAAAACCATAAAAAATGGAGGGAGTTCGAAATGGGAGGAGCCGAGGACAGGCGAACTCATTTGGGGTTTTTTGTCCTTTTAACCGGATACTTTCAATTGACAGCCAAATGCCCGTTAACGTTACATTCTATTCGCGTAATCGACGTGGCCATTTCGGCTTCAGTCCAGGCATCATCAGAAAGGCACCGTTCGGGCAGTTGGAGAATGTGACACGCGTCTTCTACGTCGTGTAAAGGATTGAAGCATGCGAGGGACGCTTCACACCGTTAGTGACCCGTTCTCTCCCTCGAGTGTAAGTGACTCGTTCTCTTCTCCCTCTCTCTCCTCCATCCACCCGGCGGTGGATTAATATCCATTACCGCCGGCAATAAGCAACCATTACCGGCGTTAATGGATGTTACGTCGCCGCCGGGTGAATGGGGGAGAGAGAGAGGGAGAAGCAAGTCCGCCACTCGTCTACTCCCCGCAGATCCAATGGCTTCTCTGTGCTGGTCACTGGGGCCGCTGGCTTCGTGGGTACCCACTGCTCACTAGCTATGAAGAAGCGAGGCGATGGAAATCGCTCACACTTACAACTACATCTACGGTCTCCCAATTACAGGACTCCGCTTCTTCATCGTCTATGGCCCGTGGGGACGACTCGACATGGCTTACATCGACGACGTCGTGAAGGGATACCTTGGCGCGCTGAACACGGCAGAGAAGAGCACGGGAACCGGGGGGAAGAAGCGAGGACACGGCGGAGAAGAGCACGTGAAGGAATGCCTTGAGCTAAACTTAAAATATACAACTTTTACCATCCCTTCCCTTTTTCAGTTTTTCGGATCTTGCACAGGAGCTTATCGAACATAAAAGATTCTTTGGATGAGATCAAAGTATTCGTGACAAAAAAAAACCTAGAAAATAGAGCAAAAGAATTTCCGAATTTTTGTTCCTGTGTTCGATTTAAAATCTAAGCTAGAAGTTCGATTCTTGAAGATTTTGGTCACTTCTGATTTTAAATAGAGATCTAGAAAGATTGAAATCCTTGCCGTTGTCACAGGAAAATTTGGATTAACACTCCGGGAAATAGACGTCGGCAATTGGGCTGCAGAAAATAGGGATTTTGATCTTCCATCACAAGCAGAAAAAAAAAAATAAATAAAGAAGCTTAGAGATCAAAGTTTATCAGTGGTTGAAGCGGGTGAGTTGCAGAGATGGGATCATTCAAGGGTCATGTTCTGCCAGGGACGTTGTTTCTTCTGGTTGGGGTCTGGCACATACGGAGCTCGATGGTGAGGTACATGAAGAACCCTAAAGGGTTCAGAGTTAGGGTTTGGAACCCTGTACCGGGATTCGACGGGAGGTTCAAGTACACGGAGCTTTATGTGGTTGCAATCGGAGCTTTCGTCGACATGTGCATCGAGCTCCTGTACTCGACCCACCTCAACTCCTCAACTTCTTCGTTTATGGTGTCCTGAATCCTCAAGTTCTTCGAGCACTCTGGGATGCTTCTAATGTTCTTCATCTTTGGCGTCGTCGCTCTGCTTTCCGAAAAGACCAGGTCAGTCCCTCCTAACCTCGTTATTCGAGTAACTAACGGCGTGAAGCATCCCTCACAACTCCCACCATAGGGACTGTATAAGGATGAGCCTGCTTAATTTTAAACGAACAAATATGCTTTTCAAGTTTTAAGGCATCAAACTGAAAGCGACCAATCTCAATCCGCCTCTCTTGGAGATGGCACAAATGCACAATAACCCAGTAGGCCAGTACCCAGTACCCACGGCCTAATTGTATTTTACCCTTTAATAAAGGGTAAACTTGGAAAAAATGGAAAAAGGTAAAAAACACCCCAAAGGCCAAAAGTTTAGGGCTTCTTCGATCAAATCCAAACAGAGGGACCGAACTCAGAGGTGTTCTCTCTGTTTGTAAGACTGTAACTTCATTCTTCGATCAAGATATTCAACAAGAGGAAACGAATCAAACGATCAAGAAGGAACCGAAATCAAATCACAGGTCAGTCGTCCTCCTCTTTCCCCCTGTTGAAATCGGCGCTAGTGTAGGGTTTTCTTCAAGGTTCTCATACCAAAACTCTAGGTAGAGCTGATAATTGTTTAATAACTTTGAAGCCGAGTCACGGATTCCAAATCCGTCCCTTCCATCCGGGGTTTTATCCTCTCCGCAAGTGAATGGACATTCCTGCATGAGTAATTGGATTTAGGGTTTTGAACTGCGTGTTTTTTCTTCACTATTTTAGTTTATAAGATAATACGTGAAATTCAAAAAATGCTTGCTCGTGAATCGGGAGAACGAGTTTGAATATTGATTTTGCGGGATTGCTGTTTCGCATTGTCGAGTGGAGTTCATGCTTTGACAATTCCATATATCCCCAACGAGTTCCCTCGGCTCTTAGGGTGATTGTACACTTTTTCTCTTCTTAATAAAACAAGTTCCCACGGCTCTGAACGTAGGTAAGTCTGGGAGAACTTTCAATATACTGTTTAGGATAGGCATTATTTGAATGTTTCTTTGCTTCTTTTTCCTCTATAGTTTTCACCTGATGTCATCGGAGAACCTAGGGCAATTTTGTCTCTTTCGAAATTCTACGATTCTTTAACACTATATGAATTTTATTTTATTCTATATTGTTGGGAAAAGGTCAATGTACAGTTAATCGTATTGTTGGAGAGATAAAGAAGGGCCCTATACCAGTGGTTATAAATTGGAGTTTTCGAGATGTTAGTGTTAAACCGCAACGGCATCAACTTCATCAGCTGCATCTTTCCCTTGTGCGAGTGGCATCCTTTAGAATAGCAAAGCTGGTTGGGGCTTGATGCCATCTGCATCATTTTGTAAAGCAGGTAATTTATATCATTTCTTTTATTGTGCTAGAAATAAAATCTATGTTCCAGCCAAAAAAGGGAAGAAGAAAAACAGAAAGGAAAAGAAGTGAAGAGAAGACAACTATATGTGCCTCCAGGCATATGCATATAGAATATAATTGAATTAATTGGTCCAAAGCGGATAAATTTCTTTTTTGATTTTATGCTCTATCGATGACCTTGCTTCTATACTGTTCTATTTCAATGTATTCATTTTTTTTAAGACATAATCGCAGTTTGTAATGCACTAATTTGGATCTCTGTTGCATTTTCCTGGTCCAGGGATTTATATCTGTTCTTCATATTAGCAAAATTGTTGAAGTTCCTTATGTTTTCCAAGAGCTATTCTATTGCAAGGGCAACAGAAATGGGTTGCTGTAGTTGCTTTGGATTAATTAGGAAGCCCAAAAGATCTTTGAGGCCTGGTTCTGGATCAGCTAGTCAGGTTTCTCAGCAGTTTCTGTTGGATGATAGTTTAGAAGATATGGATGGTGCGCTATATGATGGTGAAACTACTAACACCTCACATGAAGGTGATGGTGAGTTCCAGAGCCACAATAAACGTTCTGAAGAGATTCTCATGTTTAGAATTCAAAATGGAATGATCTGCAGGGAAACCCCTGTGAAGGAGACTCATCAGCTTATACGCTCAGAGGTAAATGCACATACAAACTTGATACTTTTGAGGGGAAAATTTAGAATACTTCAAACATGGCTGTAGTGTATCCTGAAACCCGTACAGTCTTACAGCTCCCATGGGGTCAGTTATTTACTGTCTTGGATATATTCTCCTTTAGCTCAACTCTGACCATACTGGAGTCTGATTGTTGTTTGGGATGGAAACCATTCCTTTGTCAAATTGAAATTTTAAATCATGTTTGAATTATTGATTAGATAAGAATAAGTATGTAAAAGCAATCATGATAAGATAACCAGATTATTAGTTTAGGTCTTCTGTCTCTCTTATCCCTTTTATTGCCTGAGGTTATCCATCTGCTTAAACAGTGTATCCTTAAAATGGTGAGTTCCTGAATCCTGATGCCCATATATCAATTTTAACTAATGCTATTTCAATATGGATGAGCAAAATACAATACACCCTCCTAAGGTTGTTTGTAGTATGTTAGTCTACTCTTTGTCCCACCCAAGTTTTTTCTACAAGGTGTAATCCACTGAATTTTGGATGAATGAAAGGGAACAACTACTTTTTACTCATTTTTTTCTGTATTTCTAAATATTTTCCTGATGTTGACACTTACTATCAGTATTTCATGCCCCGGAGAGTGATGTTAACACTTACTATTAGTATTATCATCTCAAGAATCATAACTGAGATCTCATTTGTTATCGGTGATAAACTGCTTGTACAAAATCATTGAACTGAAGCATGAAGCTGTAGACTGTATTGCTGCTGCAGTTGAGGGTGTTTAAATAATCTGCAAATTGTCTGCATTCCATCACTTCTTCCCAATTTGCAACTTATTGTTTTATTATGCACAGAGAGATGTGGCCTTATATGCATGAATGTTTGGTTAATAGCATTTTTTTTTTGAATGCATTGCCAGGATGAAGATGGTAATAAGATGATCAATGAGTATGTTCGAGAGCGTAAGATTGGTTCTGGGAGTTATGGGAAAGTGGTAAACATAGTGCAAGTGGCTTGGCTTTATTCATTCACTTTTTCTGTATAAATAAGTCTCAAACTTTGACATGGTAATGTAACAGGTTCTATACCGAAGCACTATAGATGAAAAGCGCTATGCAATCAAGGTATTCTTTGTTGTTTAAAGTCTTTACCTGTTCTGTATCCTTTTTACTCATGTTTATGTGGTTTGAGCTTCACAAGTGTTTAGAAAAGTAGCTTTGCTGAGAGATTATGAGAGTCATTTTTCTTGTTGCTGTCAGTGTCTTATTTATGAAATTAGGTTCAGTTTCTTGTTTCAAATTACAATTATTTTGATTTATCTATTAAAATAGTTTGTTTTTAAGATGGAGTTGGGAGGTTTATCATGCTTACCAAACAAAGGTTTCCTTCCACATAACGTAGGTTAAAGCTTTGGAATGTCTAGATGTTGAAGTGGTATATTTGCTGCTTAGTCCACGCTAGATTTTCATATTTTAAAAATTTTATATGCAGGCCTTTCACAAGTCACATTTATTAAAGCTGCGGGTGGCACCTTCAGAAACTGCCATGTCTGATGTTCTTCGGGAGGTTTGTTCTTGACTTGCTGTTTGTTTTCTATGTTTTCTAGTTATCATGTTTAATACTTTATTTTTATTTGTGTTTACATTCTGATGAAGGTTTTGGATGCAAGTCTTCTTATTTTCATCTTCCTTTATCTTTGTGTTGTTCTGAATCTTCTCATTTGGTTGCTAACATGTTGGACAGCAGTTATCACTATTTATGTATCTTGTTTTGGTTTGGGCATCATGCATCTCTTAGAATCCCTCTTCTAAAGGGTTATGTTTGTTTTCTATGTTCAATACTTTATCTTAAAAAAAAAAGTAGGGATATGCTGGAATGTGAGCATTATGAGGATTCTCTCCCTAGACAAAATGAATTTGCAGTAAGGCTTCAATGCCTTCTCATTTCTTTGGTAAAACAAGAATATACCACCATTGATGAAGATTGGTTTGGTTTTACTTTGAGAAAGAATGCTATACATAGACATTCAGTGATTCAGATTTGTAAGTTGGCAGTTGGCACATGTCTGTAAGTTGGTTTGCAAGTTACAAGGGGCTTGTTAGATTCAGTATCTGATTCGTTTCCTGTATGTATTAGATTAATGTTTGATTGTGCTGAGTCAACGTACTTTGTCACCAAGTCCTAATCTGGTCATATGCTACCAAGAGAGAAGGATTGGGGACAGAATGGAAAAAATACAAAACAAATTTGTGCTACCTTAATCTCCCATCCCTTTCATGTTATTCTTGCTCCTTTTTAGTGAGGCCAAATCCTGAATTTATCTTCTTTACAAGAAGTGAGATAAAGGAAGGGGTTAGAGCAGAAAATAAATAATAAACTGATGTACCTAATATTTTGAAGACTTCTCGTGCCTTTTTTCCCTTATAAATTCTGATAAAGAAAAATTGGAGCAGAGATAAATCCATATCTATATATTTGTGCATGTTCTTTAAAATCACTACTGGTACAATTACAGTAGGATTACAATCACCCGCAACAGTATGGGACTGCATAAGCCCTACAACCAGGATAACAACTCAAGGAAATCAGCAAAATAGCACCCATTGCCACCTAAAAATGTTCTGGCCTTAAAATAACTCCCTTAGAGATGAGTCTTGGAAGCTTTTATCAATTGAAACCCAGGATCTAACTCTCCTCACCACCCTGCTAACCAGATTCTCCACTCTGAGAGCTCTATTTTCATATAATCTACTGTTCCTCTCCATCCACCTGGACCAAAAAATTGCTACTGGAATAATGGCCCTCACAGTCTTCCTTATTAGAAGGTCATCCACTCTCCAAGCATCAAGGAGTTCTTAGTTGTATATTTAGGCAGTTTTTTGTTGATCAGGATAGATGTACATAAGTTTCTCTGACTTCTATTTATTCTCAACTATGCTAAAAGGAAAACTAACAAAGTATTACTTTTTGTTAATATTTATCTTTCCTCATCTCACCAAGTCTGATTCCCATTGTGTGTCAAATTCTAAATCCTGCATTAAAGTTGTTGTAACAATATCGCAAACTAAGCTACTTGGAAGAAAATAAGAAAAGATCTTGAGAAATGCCTTTTGGTAGGGCCTGTTCTAGCTATCTGCAACTAAGCTCCTTAACAATTTGAACAAATAAATAAGGAATTCTTGTTGTTCAGACTAGAAGTTCAATGTCTACAGCTAGGCAGAATAACTCTCTAGGGAATGTTTTTTTTTTTGTTTTTTTAAATAAAACTTTAGGACTGTGGAGTAGGACCATATAAAGCAGAGTTTTACTTTAATGTAGCAAGATTTTATTGAAATTCCCCACATAGTAATATCATTCTCTTTTACATGATAATACAATATATGATCACACAATTTATGAAAAACACCATATATGTGTTTTTCTTATAAAAAACTTGGGTGGTAATTCATTGAATCAACTAAAAGTTATTTAGTTTCTTTTACCTTGCAGGTTTCAATCATGAAAATGCTGGATCATCCCAATATTGTCAATCTCATTGAGGTGATTGATGACCCAAACACAGATCACTTTTACATGGGTATTAATTGGAACTTTTCTCTTCTGGATATTTTTATTATCATAGCCTACTCTTTATTGATCTGTGTTAAGATATGTATTGCCTTTTACGAAAAAGGTAAGCCTTTTGTTTTGTAACAAAGTTTCTTTTCTCTTTTTTCTTTTTTTCCTGGTCAGTTCTTGAATATGTGGAAGGCAAATGGGTATGTGAAGGTTCTGGTCCTCCAGGTGGCATCGGGGAACAGAAAGCTAGGAAGTATTTGCGGGACATAGTAGCTGGGCTCATGTATCTCCATGCTCATGTATGACTTAACAGTCTGAGTGGGTTGTTTCATAGAAGTGATAAGGATCATAAACATCGCTTAAAACATACATACATGCATGCTTGTGCTTTATTTCTCTTGTGGTATGATGGACTGAATCTTCTTGGATATTGGTTGATATTTTTCTTCTTATTGCTTAAGTTTGGCAGCAGATCATTTCATTCCTTTTCATGGCTCCATGTCTGGTGTAGCCATAACAAGGTTATGATCCCTTTAGATCTACTGTTATATGTCTGGGTTTAGCCTTAAGTTATTAGGTGCTGTGCAACTTATCAAGTAGTTAAAACCTCTTATTAACTTAAGGGGGTATTCATTTATTTATTTTCGGTCTTGTAGCCAAGGGGGAATTATAAGTACGTCGTTATATTCTGTTTTACACTACTAAATGAAATTCTGTAATTTGTTGCTACTGCAAATTCTGTAGTCTGTTTTGCACTACTAAATGAAGTTCTCAAAAAGCTTCTATTCTGTTGACCTTTTGCTGCACCTATCCATCTGCCACGCTGTTTACAGAATGCTTCACCCAATAATACTTCCATACCCTTTGTTAAATGCCTCATTTCTTTTATGGCTTGCTTGTGCTGCCAGGTTGTTTGTCCTTTATTGATCATCCAACTCATTGCCACCTTTGAGTCTTCCACTACCATTAATATGCTAATATTCATTGTTCTGCTCATTCTCAATCCATGCAGGAGTGCTTGTGTCTCAGCCATTAGAATCTCTATGTGCAGCCAGTCCCAAGTATATTTATTGCTATTTTCATATTTTAAAAGCAGCTGTGAAAACAGCATTATGTATCCATTTATAGGTGGGACTCCATTGCATCTGAATCATCTTCTTCACCTTTGAGAAATGAGCCACTACTTGCCATCCTTTGAGTATGTCCAGTTTGTGTGTTAATTTGGCTCTTTTTTTTCTGGGTTAATTTGAGGTCGAAACTAAGTTTTATGATTTGTCTTTGTCTGGTTTTATATGTTGAGTTTATTGTTGATGATAAGAATTTAGCTTTAGGCTTAGGGTTGGAGTTCGTTGTTTCTTCTTCATATTTCTGATAACATTCATCTAGTTTTTGCTGCTTTTCTTTCTTTTTTTGGTACAAGATAATTAAGGAAAACATGGAAAGAAATAAGAAAACGTTGACGAATAACAATAATCTTAGGGTAAACCATCTTTTATCTATTAATTGTATATAATCTTCATAAAAATGTACGAGCTTCATTTGAAGCATAGAAAATCAGCATATTCATGAAAAGAGGGCTTGAGTTCTTTGTCTTGGGAAAAGAAGAAAAGAAAAGAAAGGATGAAAGAAGAAAAGGATGATGATGAACATAATCAATGTGTTGATTGGATAAAATTTTGTGTACTTCCATGCTTTCAATTCAAATTTTGAATTCTTTGAGAGCTCAAGGCAGTATACATGTTTACTGAACCCTAACAAATGAGAAAAATAATAAAAAGAAAGTAGTGTTAAACTGAATAGTTTTGTTTAATAATGTCTATTTTATTATTATAATCTTAAAAACTTAAGAATATAAAAGTATCCAAGAGCACCGTGTGAAAAAATATTGTGGTGATTAAGTGAGGTGATCCTCCATGAGTGCCCTATCACCTAGGTATTGCCTTGATGATCATGTTGATCAGTAAGGCAGATATGTTGGTCTTTATTGGTGAGTGGAAGGTAAGTGCCATTTGGAAAAGATCCGTTCCACCTAAAATTAGATTTGTTACAGGATACAGGAAAATTGGGAGTGAAACCCGTTGGTTCTCCTATTGATCCTAATCACAAGTTAAGTGATTGTCTAGGTAAATTCATCAAAGATGTGAAGCAATTTCAGAGGCTTGTAGGAACACTGCTATATCTCTCCATGACTTGGCCAGACATTGCTTATGTAGTGGGTGTTCTTAGTCAATTCATGCATGCCCCTAAGACCACCCACCTTGAAGCAGGTGAAAGAATTCTCAGATATCTTAAGAAATTCCTAGATGTAGGTTTATTGTTCCAAAAGCACAGACATTTGAAGGTGGAAGTGTATACTGATGCAAATTGGGCATGATCACTGGATGATAGAAAGTCTACCAGTGGCTATTGTACTTTGTGGGAGGAAACCTAGTCACTTGGAGAAGCAAAAAGCAGAATGTGGTGGCTAGATCTAGTGCTGAAGCTGAATATAAAGCAATATCTCATGGAGTGGCTAAAATAATGTGGCCTAAAAATCTATTGAGTGAGCTAGGATTTACAGGTGATGGACTTATGACTTTATATTGTGACAACAAGGTAGCCATAAGCATTGTTGCTAATCCAGTAGTGTATGATAGAACTAAGCATGTTGAGGTAAACAAGCATTTTATCAGAGAAAAGGTTGTCAAGGGGGAAGCGTGCACCCCCTATGTTAGGTTTGAAGATCAACTTGCGGAGATCTTTACAAAAGTGTTACATCATTTGCGGCACAATGATCTGTGTGACAAGTTGGGCATTATTGACATCTATGTCCCAACTTGAGGGGGAGTGTTAAAAGGCTATTTATAAGTTGTTTTCTTTGTTTTTTATTTCTGTTTGTGTCACTGGGGTACTATTGTAACTCCCCTCTTTTTATGTTATGTTTTGGTTGCCTTAATATAAATACCAAAAAGCTGGTGTCGTCAGCAACACTTCTTGCTCTTAGATCTCTCTTTTCTCCTCTCTTTCTCTCTTCTTTCTTCTCTTTTCTTCAGCTTCTGGACAAGAGGGGGATAAACCAAAACCCAACATAGAAGAACCAGTGTCCGATAGAAATCTTTGGTAGGGTGTCTGTAAAGAGATAGTGGAAAGTTATTAGAGGCTCCATAAGAATAATCTGGAAGGGAGTTAGCTATAGAGCATTGGAAGTATATCACAAGGTGTTTCTTTTATGGAAAATTGCCTACAATAGACTCACCTTGGAAAAGCTAGTGACCCCCATTCTTCTTTTCAAAATGAGGCAAATCAGTCCACCCTTGAGCTTCCCTAGGTATGCAAGTGAATTAGTGTTTTAAAACGCGGAGGCGTGATGCGAGGCGTTCCACTACCTAGAGGCGTGAGGCGTAGTTGAGAACGTGGGAGGCGTAAGCCACCCAAGCACAGGGAGGTGTAAGCCTTAAGTATGTATTTTTTTTTATAATTATAGTGGGCATAGTAATAAAAAATAGGTATTTTAAGCATACAAACATATATAACATTAAAATGACTTAATTTCAATCAATATTTTAGTTCTAAATCTCAAGTTTTCAACTTCAACTATCAATATAGCATAGTGAAAATGTGAAATACAATTCTTGGAAGTTGAAACATAGACCACAAAAAAACAAAACTCTAAGGGCTGAAACTCAATCAAAAGACTCTAAATCATCTTCTTCTAGAATAACAAAGGCATCATCATCTGCTTCAAGAGTTGCATCCACATCACATGGTTCATTTCTCCCTATTTCATCATCATCATCTTCATCCTCATCAATCAAATTTAATTCAAAACTCTTCCCTTTCTTTGTCCCTACAAACAAAATCCAATTGCAATGATCACCTCACTCAATAATCCTCAACTAGAAAATTAATTGGACACTAGAAGAATACAATCAATATACACTAATTATTAATTACTTTGAAATTCAGTAGCTTGAGCCTTTTGATTTCTACGGTCAAATGTATTGTTGCCACCATCACTTGAGCCCCTCTTTCTTCCACTTGATCCTTCTTTGTTGGTAGGGGTTGTTGGCTCTACTAAATTTGTATCTGCATCTTCAACCACCTCAACTGCGGCAATTTCAAGGCCCAAAGAGTCATTATCCACCCAAGGATTAGTTGGAAGAACTGGATCCTCAATTTCAGTAATCCATTCATCATCCTCCTCCACATGTGTCAAAATGGGATCAATACTTGTACTTGCCCTCCTCTTCATGTTTCTTGCCTTCAACTTCATATTATACATCACAAAAACTAAAGCATTTAACCTTTGTTGCTCCAATTTGTTTCTCTTTTTTGTGTGTATCTAGTACAAAGACAAAATATATATTATTAAAAACATTAACAAAAAAACAACTATTTCATAAAAACATAAAAACAAAATAAGAAAATAAATAATAACTTGCTCGAAGGTGCTCCAGTTTCTTTTACAACCAGAAGCACTACATGTAAGAGTCAAACCGTGCCCACCAATCAAAGGTGCTCCAGTTAACTCTGGTGTTTGGGTTCCAAACCGTGCCCACCAATTAGCTACAAAAATATCATTTAACAAGACATTAGTAAAGCTTTACAATTATCCAAAAAAAAAAAGAATTATGCATAGTTGCATACTAATTATCAAACAAATAAATCACTTACCAGGAGATCGCCTCTTCCTCGTATCGATTGCCATGTCACAACCAAAATCTCCTAGTGCTTTATCATACATACCCAACTAGCAATCTGCTAGGGCACGCTCATGCCTATTAGGAATCATCCTTTTCATGCATCAAAATAATCCCTCTCCTATTTCACGATCATTCGAAAAATTTGGCTCATAGCGTAGCTGTGGGTTTAAATAATAGCCTGCTGCATGAAGAGGGACATGAAGTTGAGGGGTCCATCTTTCATCAATCTTATTCCAAATAGGCATGTATTTTCTCTTTATCCCACCACAAGCAAATGCAATTTGCTCCTTTGCTGAATCCATCATTTCATATAAATAAGGCATTGAGGGTCTTACTTCATAATCAACTTCTTTCAACACTGCAACTATTGGCAAAGTGGTCTTTACACAAAATGACACCTGAGGCCAAAATCTGCTATCAAACATTATAGTTTGTTTTGCCTTGACACCCTTAGGATGCTTACTCTAATGGCTCCCATTCCACTTTTCACAAGCAAACATTGATTGAAGAGGTTGCTTCTGTTTCTAAATGCTTTGCAATGTCAAGTAAGCAGTGGCAAACTGAGTAATTGCTGGACGTAAAAGCTCTCGGTTTTTTGTGAAACTCATCAAGTTTAA